AACATGCTATAAGATCATACAGACCATATGCGAATTACATAAGAATGTTTGATAACGACAAAGTGAAATACATGATAGCGATAGGATCAAGTGTTACCAGAATAATGAAGAATTGCAGCGCCCTCACAAAGTGATGTTGATGTGAAAATTGCCAAAGAAGAAAAGAGAAGCCTTGAGTTGATCGGTTACTTCAACGGAGAAACAGGGAAGAAAATGGAAGGAATTAATGACACGCGAAAAATTGGGAGAGAATGAAAGAGAAATTTCGTAACTGTCCGGAGAGGAAAACGGGAGAGATAAAAACAGGGGAAAAAATGGTTAGGACTTGGGACGAGGGAGTTCGATGCTGCAAGAGCAATATTGTACGGGGAAAACCGGGTGATTCAAGAGAGGACTAATACGGTCCTACCAGGGAAATAATTATTAGAGGTCCTATTTAAGCATTCTAGTCTTATTCTAGTCCTATATGGGACAATTTCTTTTCTAATAATCATGGTAGCGCCAATTTCTCTAAAAAATAATCAGTGTAGCACCAATTCCACGTGAGGAGCACTTAGCGTGCTTTTAATAATATATAAATACCATGCTACCTGCCTTATGCATATTATATGCATCGTCATTGACCATCATATCCCCATCTCCACTTTTTGTGTATATATTCGATCTAAATCTTCAAAACTCAGTTAAGAACTTGAAAGAAAAGTTTTGTCAAAAAAATCAGACGAAACCTTATGCAAACACATATTCAATGACAACCTTATCATCGTCATCAACATGTTTTTCGACGGCAGCAGATCGTGTGGTAGTTAACGAATACAATCACACAGCTCCATCTCTTCACACCGGCGGCGTCATCTTCTCCGATCAACTGGCCGGAATCTCTCCCGCTCATCATGGCAAAGAAGGATCCAACGGCGGTACCCATCTGAGCAGCAGCCCAACTCTAGGACTGTTCTTGCAGCAACCTTCGGTTGTGGAAATCCCGAAAACGCCCTCCGTATTCAATTTCCCGCTATTTGGGCAAAATGGTCACTTCACAAATAGCTGGCTGAAGATGGATCAAGCCTTAACTTCAAAAACTAACTACCCTTCCAAGGGTTTCACTGATTTCTGGCATGCCAACACCAGAACTCAGCCCCTGAAACCCGCCGGGAAAAGGGTGATGTCGGATAAGTCGTTATATCCGACAGCGCGGCCTCCCGGTAAACTTTTCAGGGGCGTGAGACAACGGCATTGGGGGAAATGGGTGGCGGAGATACGGCTGCCTCGGAACCGGACGAGGGTGTGGCTGGGGACTTTCGACACCGCGGAAGACGCTGCATTCGCCTACGACACCGCGGCGTACATGCTGAGGGGGGACTACGCCAACCTCAACTTCCCTGAGATGAAGCACCGGCTAAAGGATAGCTGCTCGAATAATGGCGGCGGAACCACGGCGGCCCTCATCGAGGCCAAACTGCGGGCGATATCGCAAGGGGTTGTGGCCGGGACTCCGAGGAGGAAAGGTAGCAACACTACTAACAATAAGGAGATGATGAAGAGGAGCGATGAACGCCTTACTCCACCGCCTCCGCGGGCGGCGGAGACGACGGTGGTGGTCAAGAAAAGGAGAACCGAAGGGGCGGCGGCGGCCGTGCCACCCGAGAATGAGGAAGGTGTTCAACTAAACAGAATGCCGTCTTTAGACATGGATTCTATCTGGGCTGAGCTGTTATTAGTGTCTGATACTTAACCTCACATCTTCAATTCAGATCCATCTCCTTTGTCATCTCGCCCAAGTCTCTAACAATTCTTATTGCTTCGTATAATTCTTATTACGTGTTATTATTACTATACTATTATTATTATTATCATTAATTATCATCATCATCATCCTTATCATAATTATTTATCATTATCACGACCACCACCATCCTCTAAAATTCTTCTTTATGAACTTTTTGCCTAGTTAATTGAATTCTTCAAAGAATAAAAGAATGATATGATGATGTGTATACTCTTTCAAATACTCTGAATGTTGTACTATGTATACATGTTACTATGATTATTATGTAGCACCTTAGTATTTTTTATTAATATGTAAAACCAAACCATGTTACGCAAAATGATGTTCATTAGAAATATTCATACGTAGTATTAAATTATTAACTATTCTTGCATTTTTTAATAGCCGGTGTTTAAATAAACTAATTTTTATTGTAGTTCTGCAACTTTTGGATGCTTAATACTTTAACACTAATTAATGACTTGCATATTTGGCCCTATAATTAGGTAGATTCTATGGTACCCATAAGGTACCATACCTTTGTCTACATGGACCAATGAGAATGTAGCAGTTGAATTATTTATATCTAAATTAAAAATGATAAAGTAATGTGGTCCAATCAAATGAATGATAGGTACGGTACCCCATATTTTAGAAAGATACCGGAGTTGTCACCCTATAATTAATAAACTTGTTCATATTAAAGATTTTCACTAGACAAGATACATTTTCGGTGAAATACATACCTAAAATTTTATCACCGGTGTGACTGTGTGAGGACTAAATCTGTAAACATGAAAAATAATAAGACTAAAAATAGACATGTGTATAAATTAGAGGACTAGATTTACATTTTTCTGATATATAAATGAGAAGAATCATGCTCAACATGAAATTTATTAATAAAAAAAGTTAACACCTAGAGTTTTCTATTAATTTGAGCATAATTTTTTGAGACTTGGAAATAGGAGGAGTGAGGGCTTTGCACCTTTGCGGCATTCTACATTTGGAATATTGGGTACGGTCAACCATTTCGTGTCTCTTTTGTGGTCTTCTTTTTTATTCTTTTTGTGCATTTTATACATATATTTGAATTCTGTTTTCAGCGTATTCTGTATCATGTTTGTTATTTTCTTTTCTTGCATTGTTTTGAAGTATCTTTACGTGTAGTTGAAGGTAATAGGAATCAGAAGAAAGCATCACCTTTATTAATAGGAATTGGTATGAAGTACGAGAGGCTAGGTATAAATAAAGGAGTAGATTCAAAATTAAAAGAGAAAATTGTCCAACTTAGGACTAAAACTCAACCTTTTTCTCAAAATAGGACCACATGCATGTTTTTCTCTAAATAGGACTAACTTTACCTTTTTTACCCCTAATTCTATTTAATTAATTAATTGATCTAAATAATTGCCCCCCCAGTTTCCTTGCACAACCAAGGCAGTCCGTCGGTGGCGGGGCAGTCTGTGGTGGCGGCAACACTCCGGCAGCGGCCGGCGGCGGATCCGGCGGCGGCGGCAACTCCGCAATTAATTGCCCCCCCCGTTCTCTTGCACAATCAAGGCAGTCTGTTGGTAGCGGGTCAATCCGGAGGTGGCGGCAGTTTGGCGGCAGCGATTTCCGGCGGCGGCAGCGCCGCTGCCGGCCGGCAGCAGGTGGCGGCAGAATGTTGGCAAACCTCCAGAAAAAAATCTGGAATTTTTCCGGCGGCAGGCGGCGGTCCGGCAGTCCCTGGGCAACAGTGGTAAAGGTTGTGAGGGGTATTTTGGTCCAATCACTAATAAAAAGTCCTATTTAAGGATGTTTAAACTAGGTACTCCTATTTTGAGAAAAAAGCCATGTTTTGATCCTATTAAGGTAAATCTTCCAAATTAAAATTGAGGTGGGCTAAGGAGTAATTACGTAATAGTCAATGGGCTAAATAGAAAATGCAAAAATTTAAAATCAAAAGATTAAGAAAAAATTAGGTTGCACTAGACAGACCACACAGAGTCCAGACTACCCGGGGCAGTGTTAGGGGGCAACTTAAACTTCTTCTCATCCCAAACTTAAAAAACGCCCTTTTATAAGTTTTGGCGTAAGAAATTACGTGTAAATTTTTCACAAAATATTCTTTATACGGACCGGCTCAATTCGATCTAGTGTCCTGATTCCACCCCTGAGACGATCATAAGTGTAGATCCACTGGAAATATGATGTCTTAGAAGATGTATTAATTGCAGATGTTTACATTCTCTGTTCTAAAAATCGTTCTAGGCGTCCGACTAGTCCCCGCCTAGACACTAGGCGGTGGTCGGGCGCCCCGATTTTCGTCTAGGCGCTTCGACTAATTGGTTTACCGTCTAGGTGAATTAGTCGGCCACCTATGCCGCCTAGTTGCCTACCTAGAGCGCCTAATCGGCCGCCTAGGTCGTCTAGATTCGCCAAACATTACTTTACTTTTTAATTTTAGTTTTCTAAGCGATATACGTACTTTAGCTTTAGCCATGGATATAAAGAAATGAAGATGTAAATTAAAATAAAACTATATACCCGGAGTATGTTTCTATATATACCTAAATTTCATCATTATTTATATTTATAACATAATGAATTGAAGTTAAGTGATTAGTTATTATATAGTACGTATGATTAAATGTGATAATTCTATCATTCATGTTTGTTATTGTATACGTATATATGTATTTTATACACACAAAAATATAATATTACTTATCATATTTATGCAAAAATATAGATAACAATGTGATTTCTTTGTCTCCGACTAGTCCCCGATTAGGCACCCGCCTAGCCGCCTAGGCACTAGGCGCTGGGCTGGTGCCCGACTAGTGCCTAACGCCTTTTAGAACATTGTTTACATTTAATAAATGGGGGAATTTGACTTTGGACCCTATATTCAAAATCATTAATATTTGCACCCCATTAGCCCAAAAATTGTGAAGGGGTGGGGTGCAAAGTCAAATGATTATATAGTGAAATAGGGTGCAAATATTAATGATTTTGAAAATGGGGTGCAAAGTCCAATATTAACCAAAACATGGGGTGCAAAGTCAAATTCTCCCTTAATAAATTTGAAAAATTCCGTTTGACACACTTTTTATCCACTCTCCCCATTTTCTCTAAAGAAATTATCTTAAATGGGACTAAAACATAGTTAAAACTCCAAAATAGGACTTTAAGTTTTAAATTGCTTAAATAGGACTCCAGATTACATTCTTACCCCTAATCCCAAAATCACGTTTCCCCAATCCCTCTGTCATCGATCCTGCACCTGCGATTCAGCCCTCCTCTTCTGACTGAGGTGCCATGGACGCAGCTTGACCTATTTCGATCATACACCTGCGATTCAGCCCTCCTCTTCTGCCACCTCTTCGTCGGAGTTGCCTGCTCGACGCAACCAACCACCTCTTCAACAATTTCTCCTGCAAAATCAGGTATTCTTCCTCTTCTTAGCTTCCTCTTCTTTTTCTTCTTCTTCATCTTCTTCTTGTAGATCCCCATTCCTAACAACCAAACAATCATAAGAATGAAAGAAGAAGCAGATAGATTTATCATTCATATCAAAGTATCGAGAACTTTGGTACACCGTGTAAACCGGCCGCTGCTCTCCCTCTAGAGAGAGAGAGCAGCGTAAAAGCTAATCTATTCTATTCTGCCTCTATGCCTTATGCCTTTGGTTTTCTCATAAGTTAGCCTCCTTTTATAGGCTAACTTATGGCTTACAAGAGAGGCTAATGGGCTAATTTACAATTGTGGCCCATATTACACATTTAACTAACAACTACACAAATACAAAGACATCTAACTAGATTGGACACCAGAAAAAAGTCCTAACACTTCTCCTTCTTCTCCTTCTTCTTCCTCCCCTATGTTTTCTTCTCTGTTTTGTGCTTCTTTTGAATTTCATATTATTTTAGTCAATTTAATTTGAAACTTCCATCATTTAAAAATAAATGGCATGTTTTAATAACTGCAAATGTCATCTTTCTATTCCAAAATGCCAACATTATTTTAACATCACAGTTTATTGACATGTTTATTTCTTATATGACATTTAAGGTTAGCTTGAAACTGACATTTTTTCCATATGCAAATGACATGGTTTAAGAATTCCACTTAATATGACAATAATGACAATTTCATATAGAAACATGACATTCTCAATATGACATTTTCAAATATTATAATGACATAAAAGTGGCATTTTGTAAAAATACCCAATAATTATGACATTCTCCTATTCAAAAAGTGACATTTTCTGGAATCATTAGACAGAACATTTTGAGATTCAAAGAAATAAAAATTGATAACAAGACATTCAAGTTCAGATATATCCTCATTTGAAACTTTCAAAATTCAAAATTTTATTTAAAATTTGATTGATAAAAAATTAAAAAAAAACAGAGAACTAAGAAGAAGAAGAAGAGGAAGAGGAAGAGAAAGAGGAAGAAGAAGAAGGAGAAGAAGAGGAAGATAACGTACCTTTCTTCGCTATTGCAGCAGAGGTCGTCCATGGCAGAGCGTCGCTGCGAGGCTACGATCGATGCGGACTGCGGAGCACGGCCATGGCAGAGCAAAGAATCGTGAAAGGTGAATTGAGGTGAAAGATAAATTGAGGCGATTGATTGCAGAGGGTAGCTTTGTCAGATTATATCTTTTTAGTCCTATTTTTGTAAAATAAAACATAGTAGTCCTATTTTTGCAATTCTACCTTGTTTTAGTCCTATTTGGATGAATCTCTCTTTTCTCTACATGCATAGACATTTTTTCGCAAAAATGCAAAAGGTGAAGCCACATGGCATAAGTGGAAGACAATATTTTTAATAGTGTACTTCTTTCTTATAGAGGTTATTAAATTAACTCAATTTGAATTTTGAAGCATATTGACTCAATTTGAATTTTGAAACATATTTGAGTCATAGATAATTTTATACATATTTATAGAGGTTATTAATAGATTAAATTTTTATTTATTTGATATTTATCTTATATGAAAGATCACAAAAAATTATGAATTTTGATATATATATTTTGTAAAAATTGAAACAAAAATAAAAAAAAGTTATAACCATTTAAAGAAAAATGAGTTTTTTTATAGCTCGGGCCCCGCCAACTACATCTCTATGTAGTTATACCTTCCTTCCTTTGGTGTTCGGTACATTTGAAGGAAAAAAAGCGCAAATTATAAGTATACCCGGGTGTATTTATATACCGGTATTTTTTAATTCTTTACTAGCTTCAGCCTAAGTATTATACCATTTATTCTTCCATTTGAACTCTATGCACCCCTCCTCTCTCGATGCTCCTGCACACCTCAACATTGGCTGGATTTCTCCCTTCCATTTTTCCCTTTATTTGAATAATTGTAAAATTCTTCTCAAAATTGACTCAATTTGAATTTTGAAAACATTAAAGGTAATGATAATCTTATTCAAACATCTTCGTCACTATTTAACTAGTAATGATCTAATAGTCTCATTAAAATTATATTCTAAATAGTTATGCCCAACAACAAATTCCGAAGTGAATTTTTGTTCATTTATTGAGCAAATTTTATGTATAATTGTAGAGTTTTAATGTTCAATAGAGGGGACTTGATGCTCAATGAAAATATCTTCATGCTCAAAGAGCACAACTTACGATTTTCAAATGAATGCATACTTCAAAAGTTTAATATTAAATTAGATCTGTATATTGGAATCCATAGGAGTTGATTATAGATATAATTTAAGTAATTTTATAAAAAAAAAAAAAGAAAAAAAAACAGTGAACCAGAAGTTATGCAGCAGAAATCACGATGCTCAATATTGGACTCCTAATCCTCAACAAAATAGGTCTGATGCTCATTAACAGTTTGTTAATGCTCATTTAATAGAAACCGTGATTTTCATCTCAATAAAAAGGATTTGATACTCAATGAAAATGTCTTGATGTTCAATGAACAAACTTTGTGTTTTCATATCAATATTAATGCACAAAGATGCGCATTGATGCATTAATGCGCATCTTGTAAGTTTTTGTATATATGGTCATTCGGTACTAATGTTATGTTCATTTTTAGAATGTCATATCAGTGCACATTTCAAAAGTACAATATTACATTAGATTAGCATATTTAAATTCATAGGAGTTGATTATAGATAAATTTATTAAGTCTTTATAAAAGAAAACGTAAGAAAAAAGAAGGTTAATTAGAAGATACTGGGTATATAGTAGAGATCGCGTTGCTCATTGTTTGTCTCCTAATACTCAATAGATTAGATCGGATGCTCGTTAAAATTACATTAATGCTCATTCAACAGAAATCATGATTTTCATCTCAATGACGGATATTTGATGCTCAATGAAAATATCGTGATGTTCAACTAACAAACCTTATGATTTTAGTATCAAAGTAGATGTACTTTTTAAGTTATTTATGCTCATTTGGCACTGATGCTATGCTCATTTTTAAAAGATCATATCAATGCATATTTCAAAAGTATCATATTACATTAGATTCGCTTTAGAAGTGGATCATAGATATAATTTAATAAGTTTTTATATATAAAAAAAATAAGAAACAAAAAATAAATTAAAAGATATGAAGCAGATATCGTGATGTTCATTGTTAGGCTTCTAATACCCAATAAAATATGTAAATGCTCACTACACGCACACTAATGCTCATTTAGTGGTAGCCGTGATTTATCAGTTAAATTACTAAAATGTCATCGGATGTACGGTGACAACCGTACTCCGGTGGTACGATATAGGCGTTGGGGAAGAAGTGGCCACATGACATTTTTATAGAAAATGAGTGAATATAGTGGCCATATAGGCGCTTGACACGTAGAATTTATTAAGGATAAAATTGTCTTTAGATGAGCTATGTAGTTTTTTATATATAATAAAAAGATTATTTATAGATAGATTTACAGAAATTGCCCTAAATAGGAGTAAAAAACGTTTTGAAATTCCAAAATAGGAGTATCATGTTTTTTTATTCCCTGAATATGAGTAATCTGCCAAGTTTAAAAAAAATGTCATCTTTAAAACCCTTGTAATGCCAAACTTGACAGACATTTACTCTTATTCATGGAATAAAAAACATGATATTCCTGTTTTGAAATTTCAAAACGTTTAGGGAATTGTCTCATAAATTTATTATATATCCATATTGATGTCAAAATATATATGGATAACAAAATATATCCATATTAGATACGTGTCTTAATTAAACCATGTAACGATGATATGAGAGACAAAAGCAAGAACAGCATGTGCTCTTGTAGTCATTATACTCTATTCATCCGTCTAAGAAGTCAATAGAAATCATATTTGGTCAAGCTCATGAACTTGTTTAATTCACTCAAAAAATGCCAAGCCAATTGATACAATAGTTCATTATATATACGTAGTATAAGCTTTGAACTTATTCACTCAAAAAATGCCAAGCCAATTGATAAAATAGTTCATTATATATATTAGCTTTGAACTTGTTCACTCAAAAATTGCCAAGCCAATTGATACAATAGTTCATTAAATTAGCTTCGAATGCTAAACTTAGTAAAATGAACGCTAACCACATTAAGCCGAATCACACATTGACACACAAATAATACGCATCTATTTCACTGTTGGGTGGATAGTATATTTGCTTAAAATGTATTAATCTAGTTCGAAATTGAATTCAAACTTATTTACAAAACATGACTAACAATCACTTAAATATAAAAATTGAACATAATTTACTACAAGTAAGAGTTCACTTGGTGATGTTGTTTTTCGACTTATATATCACGCTTATCGACAACTTTTCCATTAAACACGTAACTTTTGATTTTGCACAAAATTGTGTAATAATAAGAAAAGATATGACTAGAGTTACTTCTCTTGTTGTATTGGCTGGAGTTATTATGGATGACTATTTTAGCTCTTTTTCATGTAACTTTTTCTTTATTTTATTAATAAAATACGGAGTATATCTTAAATAATTTTTTTTCATATATCAACCGATTAAGCTGATTTCAATATTATAATTACCAAAAGGGCTCTAAGTTAATACCATGGTACGGTTACTCATTTAGGAGGTCATTTTTTGTAAACAACATTTATTTTAATCATTAATTTTTTAGTCACGTATTTGTCTATATATAAAAGTAATTCGGAGTAACTTTTTAGAATTGACCTAAAGTTTAATAAGGAAAACCACCTTACATGGGCAAAGAGAATACATGGAGGAACGATCCTCTCACACTGGCCTAGCAGAATCCACAGTCCGATTGCCGAGATGGTTCCCGTAGGAATTGAAGGTTTTGCTGCAATATTTTTAATATGTTATTCATAAAGTGTAAATTATGTCTATTAAATTTTAGTTCAAAATTCAAACTGAAAAACAATCAAGTAAATAATTTTAACGCACTGCACTTTATACATATTTAAACAGCGCAATGTTTTCAATTCGACATTTGACCGACTTACCGATCAAACTTTAATCAGATATTTTGTGAATGTATAATCTAAATTTCATGAAGAGCATGTTTACAAAATTTCATACAATTTTTTTACTAGGAACCACATCAAATTGAGGTGGCCAGATGATGAATCCTATCAAGTCGACGTGACAGGATCGTTACTCCATGAATGAATACTTAT